GGCCTTGTCTAGTCGCCGTAGCCGCCACGCACGCAGAGCCAGGAAGGAGCCGAGGACGATGCGCGCCGTGTCCACCCAGCACCGCCCGGGCGCGGCGTCGAGCAGCGTCCACTTGGCGCCCTAGGGCCTGGCAGATGAACAACACCCCGTATCCCTCCTAGGAGCAAGGGGGCACCCTTCGCGGCGCCGACACGACGACGGCCTTCTCGTAGACCTCGTACCGGATCCTGGCGGGCGCAGCTCCTCCTCCCCGTAGCCTTCGGCGGCGAAGCAGAATCGCAGGCCGTAGCTCTTGATGCGGCCATCCACGCCGCACCAGGCATTGACAAACGAGAGCGTGGCGGCGAGCAGAAGGACGATCTGCGCGCTCGTGACCAGGTTCAGGAGGCTCAGCTCCGACTCTCCGAGCAGCCATCAGCGGTGATGAGCCACCCGTCGGGCGACAAGCCGGCACAGAGGCGGTCGCGGGCGGCCGGCGCCGGCTGATGGATTGCGTACGCCCAGACCTCAGCCAGGCTCGGGAACCGCGCCACCGAGAGCTTGGTGCTCCCGTCATAAACGCCACAGGGGGGCGGCGGCGCGGCGGCGTGCGGTGGTGGTGGTGGGGAAAGCTGCCCACGGAGGGGGAGGACGGACGGGCGCCGGAGGCGGACGGGCCTGCCGCTGCATGGCGGGCACTGGCGGCGGGGCGGGGGGGGGGGGGCGGCGGTCTGGTGATGTGCCGCTGCTGGCTGCGCCGGAGGGGGAGGAGGGGACGGGGTGGCGGAGGCGGAGGCGGACGTGGCCTGCCGCTACGTGGTGGGCACCGTCGGCGGTAGCGGCGGAGGAGAAGGAGAGGGACGGGGAGGCGATCGGCACGTGGGGGGATGGTGGGCGGTGGCCTGCTGCGGTGGAGCGGGCGGCAGCCAGTGGAGGAGACGCGGGCGACGGTGGGGCTGGCTGGCGGCGGCGGTGAGAGGGGAGATAGAGAGCGTGAGAGAGGGAGAAATAGAGCGCGAGAGAGAGCTGCGGCGGCCACACGTGGTTTTCCATGCTCGGCGCCAAAATACATGGCTCCGAGGTCGGCACCAAGATCTGTGGCGCCGACCTCGGAGCCATGTATTCTGGCGTCGAGGTACCGGCCACGTCCACGCCACCTAGGATGCCCTGCTATGCACGGCCAGACACCTCGGAGCCAAGATCTGTGGCGTCGAGATGTGTTACCTCGGCGCCATGAGTCCTGGCGCCGAGCCCTAGGGTCCAAAGATGAGTTTACTTCTCCCAGGGGGCCAAACGTAAATTTTCTTCAAAAAAGAGCCAAATTATAAAAAATTGGGAGGTGGGAGATACACAAGATAGAGGTGGGCTTGGTTAATGCATCGTGGGCTCATGAAGAAAGTAAGGGGACATGATCTTCCCCCTATGAATGAATGAAATTTAACCTGAGATAGAGTTTTAGGCTAGAAAACGATTTATTTGAGAGAGAGAGAGAGAGAGAGAGAGAGAGAGAGAGAGAGAGAGAGAGGTATTTGAATGCTTCATAGCAAAAAATGGGGAAAAATCTTTTGAGGAAGAATCTATTCACAAAAGAATAAGAAAGAGGACCTGCGGCTTTACGGAATGCCTCCATGCATGAAGTTTGAACAAATACTTGTATTTTGATGACAATTATAGAAAGAGTTTTTTGCAAGAAAAAAATATTTTTAGGAGGGATTTTTGAAGGACATAAACAAAAAAGGTTAAATAGAAAAGAGGGATCAGTAAGTGGAAAAAAGAAATATATTAAAACATATAGTCTCTATGACCAAATAAATGGTATGATGGATGAGAGGTACGGAAATGAGACGTAGATAAAACACTGTAAACTAACATGCATTTGATTGGATCAAGTAATTGCCATTGTATAAAACGCTGGATGCCCTTACCAACTGGTCTCTGTTTCTTCAAATTCCTCCTTGCATGGTTTCATCGAATTCATTAGTGATGGCTAGACTTAGAGTTAATTTTTTCTTAGAGAAACCTTATATTATTATAGTGTCGATCCCTATTCCCATCTTGATTGCGACAGTTTATGAGAGATGTGAAAAAGGTCTGACATCGGTCTCACCAGAGATGACTTTGTGCTTAATTAGGGTTTAATCTAACCGTTTTTAATTTCACACCAGCACCCGCAAGATCCTTTTCACGCAAAAACGAGCCGTTTGACTTTGCATGGCTGCTGATCCGATCCTGTATTCCTGTCCTCCGGAGTCCGGATGCAACAAACGTGCACCGGATGGCTCGCTCTTTTTAAGGCCTCTCCATTCATCTCCTTCCTCCTCGCCCCCGCCAACACACGACAGCCTTTTCCTTCCGCAACACCCACCACCCACGGCGCGCAGCCTCCGACCCGGCGGCATCGATCTCCGCACTGCTCGCGCCCGCCCCCACCCCGCCAGAGCAGAAGCCTTCCATGAGGGGTGGTTGCTGTCGCGCCGGCGCGGCGCCGGCCGCGTGCTGTGCATCAAGAAGAAGGCCCGCGGCTTCATGTGCGGCTGCGGCGGCACCAAGGCTGTCTCCATCTCCGACGGCTCGTCCGAGAAGTCACCAATGGCCACGCCGCAGACCGCCGCGTCAACCACTCCCCTTACCGCCATGTCGACCACCACCACCACGACCAAGTCGACGAGAAGAGGAGGGAAGAACAGGCCGGTGGCGGCGGCGACGACGTCAACCACGGAGGCTCCCTCCTCGTTATCAGCCTCGTCTTTCTACGCGGACACCACCGACGACGGCGGGCCCAACAGCATGGAGAGCACGCCCAGCCTGTCGGCGCTCCTGCTCCAGCTCGGCGAGCTGGAGCGAGCGTCCGCTTCCTGCACCCCGCGGGGCCCGCGCCCGCCGGCAACGGAGCGGAGGCCGGCGGCGGCACTGATGGCAACAAGCAGCAGAACGGCGGCGACGGCGGCGGCCGGCGGCAACGTCGGACCGTGAGCGAGGGCTGCGGCGGCGGGTCCGGGCGGGTGGAGGAGAGCGTGGCGGTGGTGAAGGAGTCGGCGGACCCGCTGGGCGACTTCCGGCGGTCCATGCTGCAGATGATCGTGGAGAATGAGATCGTGGGCGGGGCCGAGCTCCGGGAGCTGCTGCACCGGTTCCTGTCCCTCAACTCGCCGCACCACCACCACCTCATCCTCCGCGCCTTCGCCGAGATCTGGGAGGAGGTCTTCGCCGGGTACGAGCGCACGCCGGACCTCCTTGTCTCCCACCGCAACAAGAAGCAGCATCACCTGGCAACGACGCGTGGTGCTTGATTCAATTCGTCTGTTCATCGATTGATCGATTTCTTGTTCGTGGCTGGGCGGACTTGACTGCAAGGTTTTCGGTAGTTTTTTGTCGTCGATTTCTTGACGCATTGGTATCATCAAGCGTGCTGTGTACAAACGATTGAACGGACGAGACTACAAGGTTTTCAGTGGGGTTTTTTTTGTCGATTTCTTGACGCATTGAAATCATCAAGTGTGCTGTACTGCTGTGTACTCCCTCGGTCTAAAGAAAAATGCAATTATGATTTCTCAAAAAATCAAATAATTTTAAGTTAATTAAATTTATAAAAAATAGTGACAGATATGCTTGTTATAAGACAACATAAGAATATATTTTCATCATAAACTTATTTTAAGATATAAATATTGATATTATTTTCTATAAACTTAATTAGATTTATTTAAGAAAATTTAAATCAAGAATTACGTACTTTTTTTTTTTGAACGGAGGAAATACAAACGACTGAGCGGATGAGCCGGCAGGAATACCGAAGGCTCCACGCAACAAATGCCTCTGTGTTTTCTAAGCTGCTTGCAGACTTTCAGTGCAGAAGAGATGTTTTCTCGTCCATGCACGATCGACGGATCGAGTACGACGTCGCTTTTAGCCGTTGCATTCGTGAAGAATTGACGGATCACGCGACGCAGGACGCCGCACTGCACGGGAAGACAGAGAGATGGCGAACTACATACTACAGATACAGCCGGTGGAAATGACCAAACGGCCGGAAAGGCGCCGCCCGTGATCCCCGGGGCGCTTGACTCGTTGCTGCGCTGCGCTACGCTACTAGTGGGCGTTCGCTCCTACAACGGGGCGAAAGCGAAATGATGGTGCTTACCTTTTGGGGTGCGCGGCAACAGCGCCCGAGGGCAAATGCCCACCCGATCCATGGATCCGTCATCCGTCGCCGTCGCACGGCACGGCCGCACGCGCGCGTGCCTCGAGGGTGTTTGCGCCGCGTGGTAAAGACGAAGAGATGCGTTGCATCGGTGCTGTCGCACGGACATCTGGCGGGCTTGATCCAGTCAGCTCTCTTTTTTGGAGTTAATGTGAGGACATCAGGACACGGCCGAGCGCCGCGCACGTTTTGGAGTTTGAGGAGATGAGTTGTTCTTTTCGGCGATTTCAAGAATGGCCGGCCGGTCGCTAGATCCGAGTTCCAGCTAGGCCATTCCATGCACAGTTGCAGTTGCACTCACGTAGCAGAGCATGAGTGATTGTTGTTGTTACCGTCCGGGAAAATCCAGCGATACTACATGGGCCACAGCTATATCTGCTTCTGGGCCTCCAAGAGAAAAGTTTTACGTATCTGCTGGACTCTTAAGGTCATGTCGAGCCCAAATATCATCCTTTCCCAGACGAAGAAAAATACGAGGCCCATCATAGTTGATCTGAGTCTTGCGGAGTGCCTACCAGACCGTGCGAACTCCACTACTCTGCGCCACCGCGTAGCCCGTTGCCGACCAAGGCATGGGATTCACTGGTGAATTTCGGTCAGCAGCACAGGCAGTCTGTGGCTGGCATGGCAGCAGTATGGCACCTCGTCCGCGTCCCGGCCGGCTCCAACCCGACGCACGGCACCGCGGCAGGCCCGGTCGCTTTCATTGTATAGCGCCCAGCCGCCCCCGCACACACAAGGAAACACAGCAACCAGACCAAACGGGGCGCGCAGTCAACTCCTCGGGCGGCCCCCCGCGACTGGCCAAAGGGCCCAGAAAATGCTGCACGGCACGGCCCACTCCTCTTCGCCGGCGACAGCCTCCGCCGCCGGCGGCGGCGGCGTGCAGCCGCTGGTGGTGGCCCTCAACTGCCTCGAGGACCCGTCGCTGGAGCAGGAGGCCCTGTCGGGCGCCGCGGCCGTGGAGCACGCGCCGCTCTCGGCGCTCTGCGCGGGGCGCGTCGAGGCCGCCGCCGCCGTGCTGCTCCCGTCGTTCGCCTTCCTCCCGCGCGCCGCGCAGCGGAGGCTCCGGCCGTGGCAGCTGCTGCTCTGCCTCGGCTCGCCCGACCGCGCCGCGGACGCCGCTGCCGCCGCCGAGCTCGGCCTCCGCCTCGTCCACGTCGACGCCAACCGCGCCGAGGAGGTCGCCGACACCGTCATGGCGCTCTTCCTGGGCCTCCTCCGCCGCACCCACCTGCTGTCCCGCCACGCCTCCTCGTCGTCCCCGACCGCCGGGTGGCTCGGCTCCGTCCAGCCGCTGTGCCGGGGCATGCGCCGATGCAGGGGGCTCGTGCTGGGCATCATCGGCGTCAACGCCGCCGCGCGGTGCCTCGCCACCCGCAGCCTTGCCTTCCGCATGAGCGTCCTCTACTTCGATCCGCTGTACGAGGTACCGGATCTGCCGCTAATACACTTCCATCCTGTGATCTGTGCTGCTAATCCAGTTGCCAGTTTTGGTGTTCTAGGGTTCAAATGCCGTTGTGCGCCGTGACCCGTGGGCATTATTAGTTAACGTGATTTGGAATTTCTGAAATGTGTTAGCAGATGATTGCTCACTAGTTTCCTGCGTCCTTTAATGTAAAGGTGATCTGCCTTTTGGCTTCTAGTGTATCATCACACGCCTACTTGTAGATTCAGTGGTCCTATTTTGTTTTTTTGGCCTCGTTGTTGGGCATTAGTTGAACTTCAGGCATGATTGTGTTTATACCAATACCAATTGATTTCTGGCAACCAGTACGCTGGAGCTTTAGTACCTTTTTCAAAATATATATGGATCTGAATGTGCTGTGGGTTTGCCTGAACTCCTAGTCAAACACTTTGAGAGCTTGACTCTTTTTTCTACCTTTCCACAAGACCTTAACTAGAGAAATTTACATTCAGGTGACCATATAAAAACATGTGTTGCCATAAGTAAGTCATAGTCAGGTTGATTTGGTTTCAGAAATAAAATCAGTTTAGCTTTATATCCTCAGTTCTGGTACTTTATACTGCAAATTTCATAATATTGCTACAGTTGTATAAGTCTTGATCATGTTTCTGGATTATTGGACACATGTAATATTGGTGATGAAGTTCAAGCATGATATAGATCTGACTTTGTTAATTGTAATGACATTATGTGAAGGTTACTGGGAAAGTAAAGCGTCCTTCTATTGTATTTCCTTCTGCTGCAAGAAGAATGGATACTCTCAATGATTTGTTAGCAGCAAGTGATCTTGTTTCGCTTCATTGTGCATTGACAAATGATACAACACATATACTTAATGCTGAGCGCCTTCAGCACATAAAACCTGGTAAGACGTGCCTTACTTGCTTCCTTTTTTTTTCTTCTGTATTAGCCTTTCCTTTTGGCAGTCTCATGCTCTCTGCGTTATAATTAGTTTTCTGTTTCATTCTTCATGCTATAAGCCTATAACACACTGTGGATGACTACCTTCTGAATGTTGCAGGAGCGTTCATAGTCAACACTGGTAGCTGTCAGCTCATAGATGATTGTGCACTCAAACAACTCTTGATTGATGGCACTATAGCTGGATGTGCATTAGATGGCGCTGAAGGCCCCCAGTGGATGGAAGCATGGGTATGAAACTGGTTTGTTCTTCCCAATAGGCTTCCTTTGGAATTTTGCTTTTACCAAAGTATATGTTCCATTTCATCTAGCATTTTTTGCAATGTTTGCTACAATATCCAGTTCACTCAATTGCTCCCTGTTTAACATACACGAATAGCTCTGTCATCACAGGGACAGGAAAAAACAAGCGTTACATCAATAGGAAACTTGGTCTTTATACTCTATGGAGTTTTTCTAGTTATAGACTATACAAGCAGTTTCTAGCTCTTAGTTCCAAAAGAATGGAAAAATTAAAAATGGTGTCCTATCAGAGATAAGGACAGGCAACTGATGTGCAATATAGTTTCCTTAACTCTGTGCACTTGCGATGCTTGCTTTACTCATTATGCGCCAATAGGAAAGTCACATTTCTTCTCTAATACAATGAAGCGCAGCTCTCCTGCGTTTTCAAAAAAGAGAGGAAAGTCACCTTTCAACAAATTATTTAATTCTAATTATGTGATCATTGATTGCACAGGTGCATGAGATGCCAAATGTATTAATTCTTCCTCGAAGTGCAGACTACAGTGAGGAAGTGTGGATGGAGATTAGAGAGAAAGCAATCTCAATATTGCAGTCCTTTCTCTATGATGGTGTTGTTCCAAACAATGTTATTTCTGATGAAGATGAAGAGATAAGTGAAATGGGATGTGATGATGGTCAACTTGGTAAACAAGAAAAAGAACATGCTTTACAGATCTGTGATGGTGAACAGCAAACAGAAGAAAGCCAATTAACTGCAGAATATGACAAGAGAAGAGCCATTTCGCAACCTGAAGAGCCTCAAGCTTCTGCACAATCTCATAGTATTGGCTCCAGATCTGAAGGGAGGCGCAGCCGATCTGGAAAGAAAGGGAAAAAGAGACCTGCTCGCCGCAGATCACAACAGAAAATGGATGAATTGTCAACTGTAGAAGGTGGAAGTAACTATTCTTCACGCAGAGATGATGATAACCAAGTGCTAAGTTCTAGTTCACGATTTGCATCGCCTGAGGACTCCAAAAATAAACATAAGTCTTCTGTTGAATCTCCAATGGAGATAATTTCTGAAAATAAGTTGCCTGCAGGGCTTGGTAGAAAGCCTCCTGAGAAGCTAAAAGAAGGTTTTGTTATTGCTCTAAAGACAAGAGATAATTCAGGTTTTTATGTTTCAAGAGAGAGGGTCGCTGGCGGTGGATGGTGTCTTGATGTGATACCAAATGCTACAAAGAGGGATCCTGCTGCTCAGTTTTTAGTCACTTTCAGAAACAAGGTATTGTTATTTTTTCCTGCCTTTCTTTTTCTATCCTTTGTTTTTACTTGAACCGCCAATTTGGATACTGTACACATACAGATACTGATAATATGTTTTATGCTCTTAGGACACTATGGGACTGCGATCTTTTGTTGCTGGAGGCAGACTATTACAGGTATCACCTTTTAAATTACTGTTATTAGAAAATGAGCTCATTATGTTCCTATGTTTTCATAGTTAGTGAAGTAGGGAGGATACTAGGTTTGCACCTATGCTCTGTTTGTGTTTGGTAGCTAGTGACTGATGAATGTTATTGAGCATATGCATTCACATCCGTATTGATCCTACGATTATTGGCACTTTTGTTCCTTGCTCAAAGTTATCTACTTGAATGCATGATTTGTTACAGTGTTGTTATCTGCTAAACTGCTCTCCTTGCTTCATCCTTTTAGTTGTTTTTGATGAAGTACATGTGTGTGTTTTCATGCTTGCTCCATATCTGCAACATTAAAAGGTTGAGAAATGTAACTACCAGGTTTCGTTTGTACTAAATCAACCATGATCCATATAGCCCCATATTCAATGTAGTAGGAATTGAAAAGATACATATACCCCCCCCCTGTAGGGTCGAGATGGCGGACTAGGGGGAGGGGGTTGAATAATCCTTTCTAAAAATTAAATGCGTCGGCTAACCGAAATAAAAGCGGAATTAAAACTACCGGTCTAGCCAAGACTACACCCTCTATCTAAGTTCACAATCACCTTATAAAGATCCTAATTAGGCAACAAAGGTGCCGGGCTAGCTAGAGCTCACCTAATCAATTCTAGGAGCAAGGTCACACAAACCTACGCAACTAATACTTTGGCAACCGAGAGAGCTCCTACACAAACTAGTGAAGCAAAAGCACAAAGCTCCTAAGCTCACTAGCAAAGCTCAATAACAAGGCAACTAATGCCAAATTGGAGAGCGCAAATTACTTAGCTACACAAACTAAGCAATGCAACTAACAAGACTACTCAAGCCAAATTAGTTGCGCAAGGGAGCTACTTCTATGCTACACAAGCAAGAAGGTAACTAGCAAGCTACACAAGCAAACTAATTACAAGAGCAACTACACAAGCACAATGAATGTGAAAGTAATTACAAGCTTGTGTAATGGGATTGCAAACCAACAGGAAGAGGATGACACGGTGATTTTTCTCCCGAGATTCACTTGGTTGCCACCAAGCTAGTCCCCGTTGTATCGACCGCTCATTTGGTGGTTCGACGGCTAATCTGCATCACCCGCCAAGCCTACACGTTGGGCACCGCAAGAACCTACCCCAAAAGTGAGGGTAGCTCAATGACACGTTCAACTAGAGTTGCTCTTCGCGGCTCCCGCGGGGTGAGCACAATACCCCTCACAATCACTTCTCTGGAGCACCGCACAATCTTCTTTGCGTGCTTCAACGGAGACCACCACCAAGCCGTCTAGGAGGTGGCAACCTCCAAGAGTAACAAGCACCATCGGCTTGCAACTCGATCACCTAGTGCCACTAGATGCAACCTCACGATGCAATCGCACTAGAATCGCACTCACATTCAATTGGATGATCACTATCAAGCGTATATGAGTTAGAGGGCTCCCAAGCACACCTACACAAGCCACCAAGGCTTAAGGGTACTCAGCAACCAGTCCATGGCCGAGCTCCACCTCTATTTATAGCCCCCAAGCCAAATAGAGCCGTTGGAGTAAAGTTGCTGGTTTCTGCGAGGGCACCGGACACGGCGGTGCCCCTCCCAAGATCAAATTCCAGATCGGACAGGGTGGCGGTGGCACCGCCCTAGGAGTGGCGGTGACCACCCAGCCAGTCACCCGAAACACCCCCGCTCTGGATAAAAGGGGCGGTGGACCGCCGTCACCATGGCGGTGACCATGGCGGTGACCAGCCCCACTGCAGCTGCTCTCGGATAAAAAGGGGCGGTGCACCCGACACCCCCAGGTGGTGCCACCACCCTCCCCATGGCGGTGCACACCGGCCAGGGCGGTGCCCGCCCTTTCTCTGCTGCTCTGAACCGAAGTCAGGTGGGCACCGCCCTAGGGGTGGCGGTGCCACCAGATACAGCGGCGGTGCCAGCCCAACAACACCCTCTCGGCCTTGTCCAGACGGTCACTGCCACAGGGGTGGCGGTGCACCGGGGTGGCGGTGCCCCCCAGGGCAGCACTTTGAGCCCGGTTTCGCCTCCTTTCTTCACCTTTCGACTTCTCCTTTGCAAATGTGCTAACACCACCAAGTGTACACCACCATGTGTATGTGTGTTAGCTTTTCACAAACATTTTTCCAAATGATTAATCTCTCAATTCACCACGCCACTCGATCCTAACACATATACAAAGTCAGATCGCTCAAGTGGCACTAGATGACCGATATGCAAACAAGTTTGCCCCTCTTGATAGTACGGCCATCTATCATAAACCTGGCCATGCACCTCTCTACACAACCTTTGACCGGTGAAATGAAATGCCCTATAGGTTATACCTTTGCCTTGCGCATTCCATTCCATCTCCTCTAATGTTGACGCAACACATGCACCAACCATATCACAAATAATATGATCCACTTCATATCATCACGTGACCTTGTTGGTTCATCGATTTTGACCTCATTTGCTTTTCACCGTTGCCTTCGTCCATTGGCGTCAAGTCTTGCTCAAGCTTCACCGCCACGCGGTCCATCGCTCCAAAGCCTCCAACTTGTCCTTCACGCTTGCAACCGGTCCATCAAGCCAAGTCTTGTCTTGATTTTCTCCACCTTAGTCACATGATTCAATGTCATGTCTCATATGCAATGAGCTCCTTCATCACATGTGTGAGCCTTGCAACAAATCCAAGCCATTTCACCTCCATGGCATAGGTTGCTCACACATGATGTACTTGTGGACTAATCACCTGTGTATCTCACATTGAAACGCATTAGTCCACCTAATTGTCACTCCCCTATCCCATCTGCATTTAGTGTGCACTACATTTTACAAGATACTTCCTCTTTATCCAGTTAGCAACCAAAATAATTGGGGTGGTTCACGAGACAGAGTGACAGACATGTAATGTGGCAACATAAAGCAGATTAGTTAGTGGCATGTAGTCATCTCATGTTTATCTTAATAACCTCCCAAGTCAAAGTTTGTCAAATGCCAAATAAAAGAGAATGAGAAGTAAATGTCTTCATTTTGTAAAGTGAAATATTTGATCATTGATGTTGTGGTATTTCTAAATGTTGGACTGGCTTTTATTGCACTGTCAGGCTAATAATAAGATGGAGTTCGTCTTCACAAGTCATTCTTTTGATGTTTGTGAGAGCTGGATGCTGGAAGGGTCCCTTTCAGAATGCTGCAAACTGGTTAATCGCAAAAATTCTTTGGTACGTTCATTTGTCGCTGCCATTCTAAGAAGGATGAACTTAACATTACACAAATATCCCCATTAGTTAGACAAAATGAAATACTTGCACTGATTCTATGTGTTGTTTATACCTTTCCCGGTGGTTAATTTTTTTTTTTCTGTAGGCCGTACTTGAAGTCTATATTGAGGTCCTTGGAGCTCCGAGTGAAGATGGTGTCGTTCGGTGGCTTGATTAATACATCAGGGCTATGCTATATCTAGAGAACACTTTAAGGGTTAGGTCTTCTCTGAGTTTCCCTCTTGCCAAGTCTCAGTTTTGGTTGTTGTTCTACTGCATAGACCCGCAGCGCGCAGTCATTGAATTTTTCGACTGTCTGCTTGTTGTAAGATGTGTGTGTAAGTTAATTATACAGAATGACAAGCACAGTCACTACTCCATGTTCAATTCAGTACGATTGTATGCACTTGTGGATTACTTAGCTAATTTATATTGCTTTTTTACTAATAGATAGGATCAATGTATATACCACAATGAATATTACATGATCACTTCAGTAGCAAGGTGCACAGGATTTTCAGCCTCATGTCCTACCAGCCAGTCATTTCTTCATCTGCTTGGCCTTTGCCTTCTCCTTCTCCTTCTGGATCTCTTCCTGCCATAGCACGGGCCAGTTGGCCCGAGCCTCGTCGATGCCGAGCAGCGAGCCTTCCTTGTCGGGGTCCCAGCTAGCCGACAGCGTGCCGTAGGCGATGCCGAGTGCCGACGTGCCGAAGGCGACGAGGATGGTCAGCAGCGGCACCCACGACGGCACCACCACCCCCTGGCCGCGCTTGAGCGCGTCGTACACGTTGAGCAGCGCGACGCCCGTCGCCATGGGAAGGCCCACCGTGAACGCGATCCGGCGCAGGATGCGGTCGAACACGGGCTGCGGAAGCTCGTCGTCGTCGCCGTCGACCTCGCTGCTGCTGTTGCTGCCGCTGCTACTGCTGCTGCCGGTGCCGCCGCCGTCTCGCTTCGCAAGCGACGCTTCTTCCATCATCAGGAGCTGCTGCTGCCGGTCCTGCAGGTCCTGCTGCCGCCGCCGCTCCTGCTGCTTCTCCTTCCGGGTGGTCTTCTTGGACGGCGCCGCGTCGCCGGTGCCGAAGCTGCTGTCCGTGGCTGCCGAGCGGATGGTTGGGGCGCGTCGTCGTCTGGAGAGTGGTGATAGGCTGGATTGTGTGGAGTGAAGAGCCCATGGGGGTGGTTTTGCGGTCGGGGCAGCCGCTTGGTGGAGTAAGGCGGCCATGTCTATCCTCCGCGTGGTTTCACCGTCGAAGACGACGACGACGAAGAGCTCTCTCGCGCGGTATGGTGTTTCAGTGCGTGGTTTCGCCGCTGATGATAAATGGCCTTATCATCGCCTTGAGCGAGTTGTGGCGCGTAGTGCATGTGTTGGAGATAAGATAATGCTTTTGGTTTTGATGAAAGAATATCTCGTGTGGACCCACAGAAAATATCTCGTGTCAGCAAGCGCAGGCCCACCTGATAGTGAAACAGGCGATTCTCTTTTTTTGAAAGATAAGAACAGACCGCTGTCGAAGCTGGCGGTCCTGGTGCCGACGCAGTGCGCTTCGAATCCCGCCGGCGATGTCGACGACCACCGGTACAAGAGGCGTTCGCACCATCACGATTCACGAATTCACACCCCTCTGCTGCGGATGGGCGCGTGGTGCGCGTAGCGAGCAGCAGTCGAAAGCACGCTGAGCGAAACGTTACTGACACTGCGGGCGGTGGGGGTGGAATGGTGGATGACAGGAACAACGACGGTCGACGCTGCCGCCTACGGGCTACGGCCGCAGGGTCTGAGTTGCTGCTGCGCATCTGCTAGAGCACGGCCTTTTCGTGTAAGCCATCTGAGGTTTGCATCAACCGACCATGCAAGCTAAGCCCGATCAATCGAGGCCAGAGCGGTTCATTCAGGTGCAGCGGACCAGCGGTGGTTACATCCAGCAAGGAGTCGTAAACGCACTAGTTTCTTCCTTCACAAAGTGGCAACTGGCAAGGCAGACTGTACCTTTGTTAGGTTTAGATCATGCAAAAGAGGGGCTGACGGAGGATTAGGTCCTGTTTGGATGAATTAGGACTAGTGATTAGCTCACTAGTGATTAGTTCAGTCCTGTTTGGATTCCTAGGCTAATAAGTACTACCATCTTACCCCTGAACCTCAGCCAAGAGGATCACTGAATCGGAACCGTGCAGTCCTGCCGATCTGTGAACTGAAATGAATACAATCTTTCAACGCAATAGATTACAACTTGTACCAAAACATTTTGCTATTATTAGCATCCCAGTGTCCCAGACTATAGCCCTGCCTCCCGTAGTATCCCATCACGGCATCACCTGCTGCGTTCGCGTTCGTAGCTATCTGACTCCCGAGGAGACAGATCCCGCGCGAGCTTGAATTCCTGCAGGTGGTTAATATCAGAACGAGAACACTGTGAAGCTCAAGCTTTACATGGGTTCTGGCGTACGTCTCTGAGAATCTTGTCGTCTTCGAGCATATGAACCACATGCGGCATGGTGGGTCTCTGGCTGCCGTCCGGGTCGACGCACCGGAGCGCGGCGAGGACTGCCCGCTTCAGCGCCTTGGACGGGGGCCGCTCCGGCAGCCTCGGGTCCAGCACCTCCTCCACCCTCCGCTCCGCGACCATGCGCTTCAGCCACTCCACCAGGTTCACCTGAAGGGAGAGACAGCAGCAGCGATTTAGCATTGCCACAATGGCTTGGCAGCAATTTTGTACATACGCATGGGAGCTGGTAGTGGTAGCCCACCTCATGGGTTGGTCTAGTGTAGTCCACCGGAGTCCTGCCGGTTATGACCTCCATCACAAGCACTCCGAAGCTGTACACGTCGCTCCTCTCGTTCAGCATTCCGGTCTTGGCGTACTCCGGTGCCACATACCTGCAATGCAGCAAATGCAGTAGCCGATAATGAACTCGAACAACAGCCCTCCCTGCGAAAACAGAGGAAACCAACACAACACTGACCCGAACGTTCCCATGACACGAGTGGTAATGTAGGATCTCTCAGAGCAGAGAAGCTTGGCGAGCCCGAAATCCGACACCTTGGCGTTCCACTGCCGGTCCAGGAGAATGTTGCTGGATTTGATGTCGCGGTGAACTATCTTGGGCTCCAGACCCTCATGGAGATAGGCCAGCCTGAAACATCAGGAATTGTACATGAGAAACTGCACAATTCAGTTTTCGACAGTAGTAATAACAAATTAGGTACAGAGTAGAGAGGGCCAGACAGGCAGACAATGTTGCTTTCAGACGCAGCTTGCTACTACTTCCCTAATCATGCCCATTAAACAGGCAAACTAGTACGTACTGTTGTGATGTGTCAACAAAGTTTTAATGTTTTCTGGCCATCATAACTTCAGTCCGGACATTAGATGGGCAGGCAAGCTAGTACGGATAAAGCAAAGCAAAAGAAAGCGTTACCCTTTAGCCGTTCCAAGGAGTATGCGCATCCTGATGTCCCAGGTCAGTGGGCTGATTTCACTGTCATCATGGTGCAGCCACCTATCCAGATTGCAGTTCTCCATGTACTGGTAAACGATCATCCTGATGATGGGGGGACACAACAACTCTTTGGATCAAAATACTGTCAATGAGGCTCAATTATGTCTCCTTTAAATCGAATGGTAATGGTAATTTGCACTGTACCTGCAAGCTCCCTCGCTGCAGTAGCCGAGCAAACCGACCAGGTTCTTGTGCCGGACACGCCCGATCGTCTGAACCTCCATCCTAAAATCTTTCTCGGCCTGACCCCTGATTAACAAGTACACAACAACTGATGATTTTATTTTTTTTTTTTTCCTTTCTTTAACTTATGAATGATACGATCACTGGCGTGGCTATGCGCTACATCTGACACTGATCTGAAGAATGGATAAGAGTTTGAATTTGTTGTGTTCAGGAGGATACGAGAAGCAATTTAATCCAAATTGAGACCTACACCTATACCAACCACCTCTGCTCTTGCGGCCAACCGAGAAGAAGCGCATATTTAGTGATAAACTTTTTAAAAATGAAATGGGAGTTTTTTCAGCATGAAATCCAGCAAATTAAAAATCGGTAACAGAAAATACGATCGTAGGCCACCAACCAGACTAGAAAAGTTTTGCGTGTGAGTTTTGTTCACGCTTCGGATCCAACCGGACAAATCTCGAAGCGGAGGGAAGAAGTTAACCTGTTGTTGTGGAGGTTTTTGATGGCGACGGCGGTGCCGTCGCGGAGCACGCCCCTGAATACGACGCCGTACCCGCCTTCCCCCATCACGTTCGCGGCGGCGAGCCCGCCCGTGGCCTCCTCCATCTCACGGCGCGTGTACCGCCGGCCCCACCCGCGCCGCGCCGCCGCCTCTGGAACCTCTGCATCATCGCTGCCGCCGCCGTGGTCGCTCTCGGTGCTGCTGTCGCCGTCGCCGCCGCCGCCGCCGCCGCTGCTCGTGGCCGTCTCGCCGCTTGTCCTCGCGAAATGCTCCGCGAGGATCAGCGGCGCCTTCTGCTCCGCCTTGATGGCCTCGATCGGCGGCTGTTCGAACGAAGCGGCGGGGCGCCACCGAGCGGCGGCAGCCTCCTCGACGTCCTTGTTGGCCGGCGCCGGCGGCGGCATTGGCACTGCTTGATGTTGATGCTGCGCATGTACGCGGTGCTTGAGGGACTTGCTGGCGCCGGGCCGGTGCGGGCACGGGGCCAGGCGAGGCGTGCGGCGCCGGCGGCTGCAGCGGCGGCAGAGGCACACGATGAGGCAGAGAAGGGCGAGGGCGGCCGCCGCGGCGCCTGCGGCGACGAGGACCCAGGCGCGGAGGCCGAGGACAGGGGTGCGCTGCGAGAGCCAGTAGACTCTCGGGACGCCGACGCCCAACACGGACGCCGGCGCCGTGGGCCCCTGCTGCTGCCTGTGCTGTGGATGGAGATGGTGACGCGGCGCAGGTGTGGAACGCGGGTGGCGGCCCTGGGGGCTGCTCGCCACGCTCACGCGCCGCGCGGTGTGCTGGGGTAGCGCCCTCGGAGTCGGAGCAGTCATGGCTGCGCGCCGACGCTGAGCCGTGGAAGCTCGTGGAGTTGTAGCTGTAGGTTCGATTTCCATTTAATTAGGGCTTTTCCAGTTAATGGGACTACCGTTTAGATCGACTTGAAACTATAGTTCAAATTTGTTACACAATCGCGAACACTCCTACACACAAGGGAGCCCCCTTGCCGACTTTCACCCTGTTGGCTTGGCTTATAAAACGTATTTTTTAAGTTAATGAACAAAATCTCTCATAACAAATTAGTCAACAGTACTTTCAGTTATAACTTATTAGCCAAACGAAATAGGACATTTGCCGTTGGTTACTTGTGGAGCGATTTTTTCTTTAGTCACAAAAGTAGGGGTAGCATTTGTATGCAAGCACATATACTCACACCTACGAAGACACACACTCTATGCATATTAGCACCTCTGACCATATAGCATCTCCAAAAGTCTTTCTAAAATTTACTCTCTACATCATCGTTTGAAGAGCCATCTATGTAAAAATCGTTTTCTATATCTTTTCGCTCACCAATAACTTTTCTATATCTTGTGCACACTCTAGAGAGCCATTTTCGCTATCTATCTTTGGCTAGCGAGAAGTCCGAAATAGAAGATAGCTATATTTGGATAATCATTTAAAGAAACTGTTGAAGAGTATTTTTTCATCAAAATCTCTATTCCTAAGAGCATCTCCAATAGACTATTTATGTCTTTCTAATTTAAAGGAATAGAGATTTTGATAAAAAAATATCCTCCAACAACCTCTTCAATAGAATGTCCAAATATGGACAACCTTTATTCCGAATATCTCGCTAACCAAAGATAGAGAGCTAGAATGGTGATATAGAAAATGACTTTTTACTCAAATGACTCTCTAAATAATGATTTAGATAGTATATTTTAAAAGGCTCTTGAGATGCTCAAACAATTAGGAAGGATATAGAGTCTTTTGGAGATGTTCTAAAAGAATGGCATCATAAATCCTAAAATAAACTCACAAAAATATGAGCACCACCTACCTCAAGTTGAGAACCCTCCCATTGTCAAATCTAACTGATTTGCCTTGACTGAGAAATATTTTCAAATTTAACTAATTTATCTTGACTGAGAAAGGCAGATATATGTCCTTTGCTACATGATGAGATTGATCTCAAGCACACATTAAAAATTCTTTTTTCGAGAATGATTAAAAAAGAGCTAGTTCATTTACTAATTTGTTGAAAGGGGGTACTTCCAAGTTCCAACTGGTTGATAATGGAAGGTATAGTAAATCATGGATTTTTTTTCAATTGGTGAAAGGGGACAAAATTTTAATGATAATGAAGCTCTTAAATCTCATATTGCTAATTATTATATATAGAGGCTTTATTCAATCAACCTGGGGTGAGTCAATTATCGTTGATTGAATCACAAGCTGATGACACCTCAAATAAGTGATATTGAAAATCAGCTTCTTATACAACCATTCTATGAAAAAGAGGCCAGGATACGATTTTCCAGATGAAACTTAATAAAGCACCTGGTTTGGATGAAAATTAATAAAGCACATGACCCATATGTGTTTTGTTAGAAAACTTAATAGTCTTTCCGGAAATAACAAAAGTCAATCTTATGGCGTCATCTGAAGAATTTCATAAAGGAACATTGCCTCTTTTTAGTTTAGGTTTTGGCATATAGAGCAATTCCGCCAAATATGTATTTTGAATGTTAGCTTCAAAATCTCCACAAAGTTATTTCAATCTTAATATTCTAGATGGTGTAGCAGATAAAGTAATTAACATTACACAAACTGCTTTCATGTCAAGTAGATACATTACAGAAGTTGTCATTCTCCATGAAAGCTTACATAAATTGAATAGGGAAAAAATTGAACGTTGTCAATCAAATTGGATTTTGAGAAAGCATATAAAGTGAAATGGTCCTTTATGCAAGAATCTTTGCTTATGAGAGGATTTTCACAGAAATAGTGTAGCTGGATTGATTGGTTTGTAACAATGGGATGTGTGGGAGTTAAGTGAATGATGACATATATATGAACCAATCAATCCGACATTCCTAAGGTCATATTTGGATCTCATAATCTAAAGTTTAGTTGGCTAAAGTTAAGGGCAAAATTTTATATCACTTTAGCTCATTTGTGCGGTCGAACGAAGTAATGACTTTTTGTGAGGATGCTTAAACTTTAGAAACACTTTAGTTTAGTGGCTAAACTTTAGACCATATGATCCAAACATGACCTTAGCATTCTTGTTTTGAAAAGAACTATTATTTTTGTTGTTGCTATTGGCTAATTGTTGTGATAATGTACAGCCAAAAGCATCTTTTGATACAGACCGTGATGTTACTATTCTTTTTTAGGAGTGACGTTAGTATCCTATCATCTAAAAAGTTGAATTGGAATCACCTCACGTCCAGCACGTTAAAAAACATAACAAATCTTCGGACCTGTTTGGAACGGAGGAATGCAAGGAAAAACCACATAAATAGAAAATGGGTGTAGGTAAAAAAAAAGAAGAAGATTGAAAACACAATAATTTTATAGGAATGAGTCTTTGGAACATAGGAATATAAGAATATATTTATTCCTCCATTCTACTAGTGAATAAGCACTTGCTCATTCTCCATTCAAATGTAGAATTTTTTTTTTTCCAAAAGCTTGAAGTGGATGTTTTATTTTCTCCATTTCATGAAGGAAAGGAAAACTCTTCATCCATTACAAATATCATGTGATATAAGTAAAACATATGAACTGGATTATTTTGAAATTCATATGAAAATCCTCGAATCCAAAGAGGCCTCACTTGGCAAACCATGCTTGCTGTCTTTTTTCTTTACTTGCGAAGCCCAGTACGTGCTTGTTGTCTTGTTTGCTGCTCAGAAACATGATAGAGACGATGATAGAGATGACAAAAGTTTGTTAGGTTAATTAGATGAAATCATGCTGTTGCGGAAAAAAAAAATCATTGTCAGAAGGAGATTATTACGTACGTACGTATTATAGAGAGAAAAATCTGGTTTACTAGCTCCTCCGTAGTTGGGTTCCGTTTTAGTTGTAGCCGGTGCGCCTCTGGCAGTGCTGGGCGAGGGAAAGGGTCACGTCAGTGCTCACTGCTCAGAACTCGCTTCGCGGAGAAACGTCGGTGCTGAAATGCCGCTCGGAGCTGTTGTATGTTGGTGATCTGCTGCAGCGCTGGCTGGGGTGGGTGCGTTACGTGACTAGGACACCCGAACCATCGCAACCGTGTCGCTAGTCGCTACGGCCCGCCCCGGTAAAAAGCACAGGGCCACCACCACGGCAGGTTCCAGATATGGCTGGCTGAAGATATGATGGCCTGATGAATGATGAGATGATTACTTGGTGTTTCCGTTCCTCGGCTGTGCTTCATACGTACGAAAAAACAAGAAGAGGTAACATTAGCTAAATGCGTCCTCCATGTGCACCACCGCGCCCTCGTTCACGAACCACCGCGTGCGTCCCCGGTGGCGAGTAGGCGGCCCGGACGACCGTAACAGAGGTGAATGGTGGGGCCCAGCTGTCAGCGACTATAACTTAACGGAAGTGGCAACTAGAGAAACACACAAATTATTTGATGGCAGTGAAGAAATTTTGATGGCAACGAAAAAAGTGTTATATTTTTTATGGCAACTAAGGAATTCTCTCCAAGTTGATACGGGCCGTGACCTACGTTTGTCGAGACTAGGAGTATATATAAAAATGGGGTGGTGCGGTTCGGCGAACCGGCCCAAAAAACGACCCTATTGGGCTCCACATCCAACCCACGAAAACGCTTAGTTCCAGGTTCGCTCCACGAAGCAACCACCCCCATCGTGAAGTATATATAACAGTATCGTCGATTGCCAACGTTCCGTCACGGTTTGCGATCTGCCTGTGGTCTGTGGATGCTGGCGTCGGTCGGGGGCCGCTTGACGTGTGTTCGGGACTGGCGGACTGCACCCTCGCTGAGGTGCCGGCGTTACGGCTTGTTGGTTGTTGCCGGACGTCGCGGTGTGGACTGGCTGATTGACTGCTAGTATTTTCTGAACTCTGTTTCTTCACAGCGCTTAAACCTCTGTTTGGGCTATGTAATAGTATTAGATCAATGACTTCAGACATGAAAACCACAATAGAAAGTACTGTAATAAGCAGTACGAAGATCAGAACTGGAGTGGAGTTGACCTCGCATCGCAAGTGCCGAAAAACACATCCAGGAAAACTGCCCTAACCAAACGTCCTAGCATAGTAGCATGCGTTAGCGACCTCCCTCTGTCTGCTCCCTTTATCAATTGTTTCTGGAAATCACATTTGATGAGCTGTTTCTACCACTTGCTCCCTACCCAAGCGTATTTCTGTGTTCAGACGCTTCTGCCAGACATTTCCTGTCGAAACATTAGATCTGCTGCCAATTGCCAATTGGTTAGGCAAGGTTCAAGGATTTGCGGCCAACTACTGAAAACTTGACTAACGGAACGGCCGTTGGAACGAAACGTACGTTCTGACAGACAGAACCCGAGGTCTAATCTAAAAGCGACGCTACCAGCAGTACTGCTCTTGTTAGCTCTGCACAGTGACTGCAATTGTCCTCTGTGGTTAGCGCAAATCAATTCATTTGGTGCTGATTAATGGTGGACAGCTGCGTAACTGAACACCTGCGATGCCCTTTCAAGTCAGTTCGTTCCTGGCACGGGGCGCTACTGATCGATGGTGAATAATCAATAATCATGCTTCTAGTTTCCTTTTTTCCAGTACCTGCAATGTTATAGCACTACTGGTAGATGGCGAACGGAACGGTGATGCTGCAAAAGTGCAAAGTCAGTAAGTTTTCACGCTTTTTTTTCTTTTCTTTTTGCAAGCGGGCGACAATTGGTTAATGCTGATGTTGGGCAGTGATCGATACTCAATGGTGAGCACTGAGCACTGATGCTGCAAAGTCAGAGCTGTGATGTTTTTCGCAAGTCGGTTCGTTAATGCCTTACGCACTTACGGCGGTGCATAACAGCTGAAACCTGAA